TGGTTGGTTTGTTGGTGGCTCTGGTTCAAATTGAGTCTGAAAACCTTGAAGATCCTGAAAAATGAAAACTTAGAATCCTCTGACAGGATTTTCAGAGTTGGATTACGTAATGATTACATGTACTTGTGGTAGAGGGGGATTATAATTCTTGAGTAGCAGAATTTAGACAAGTACTGTGGAATAAGGCAAAGTATATGAAGGATTAGAGTAAGATAAAAGTGGTCAGTGGTGACTAGGGGTAAATTTAGCAGAGAAATCCATATCTGAAGTCAGATTCAGGAAATATCTTATGAGTAAAAAGTTATGGTAATATTATAGTGAGAAAAGATGGTAAAAGCAGTCTTTTGGCCAGCTGTGCTGGCTCTAAGGCTGACAAGAATCAAGAAAATTTGAAAAATTTGAAAGTGAGACGAAAAAATACAACATAGCCAATGAAAAGAAAGAAAATTAAAATTAAAATTAAAAAAAGAAATGAACCAAGAATAATAGGGCAGGAGATCAAAAACTTGGAAAAAAAATCAATGTTTAAAGAGAATCAATAAGGAAATAACAGAAATAATGAAAGCAGTCATGTGACAACACTGGGAGGTTACGTTTTCAGTAACGAAAAATAACGAAAACGTAACGGAATTGTGGCCGTTAGCGTTACAATAACCGCAAAAGCCTTTCCGTTACGTTTTCTTTTTCCTTTTTTCCGCTTTTTTTATTGTTTTTACGCTATCCACCGCAATCAAGTGTGGATAACGAACACATAACGAGGGGCTTTACCCTCACACAACGTGGATAACGTGCTGTTTGCGTTGTTTTCTTCCGTAACGAGGGGTAAAATCCCTCTCGTTACGTTACTCACCGGTCAAAAAAGATCGCATTCTGGATAACACTAATGTTGTTATCCAATGCGCTGGGAAGTTACGTTACAAAAATCCCTCCGGATATCGTAACGTATGTAACTTCCCAGTGTTGCATGTGAGAGCTGTATTTTTTTTTTTTTTTTTGGGAATATTTTATTTAAAGAAATCGAGTGGAGATTAGCCCGGAGAGATTTAGTGAAAAAATCGGCGATATTGGAAGAAGTGGAAACCCATTCAAGCTTGATATTGTGTTCACGGACGGCGTCATTGACAAAAAAAAATTGTGTTCCAAACTCTTCATGCGACCTTTTGATGCATTGTCATCCGAGACCAGTACGGCCACCCTGTTGCCGCATTTCAGGACTAGTGGTGGATTCACGCCGAGAGATTTGATTACTGGAATGAGAAATAGGAGAAAATCAACCGAAGATCCTAAAGAAATAAATTCCGCCGCACAGGTCGATGTCGCCACAACCTTCTGTCTCCTGGAACCCCATGCAACTGGACTGCCTAAAAAGGTGATGATGAAACCGGATGTTGATTGTTGGAATTCGCCTCCCCAATTAGCGTCGGACCACGTTACTAATGAATCATCCTTGGCTTCTAGTTTCAAACGTTTTTCCTTGTGGGTTGCGAGATACTGGACGAGATGATATAACGCTGCCCAATGTGTCTCATTTGGATTTGAACTGAAATGCACCAAATAGTTGACCGCATAGCTGATATCCGGGCAGTGTAGTATGCCAATTGTGTTTCAAGTATCAAATTGCATAAAGTCACAGTTCAATATGTAGAAGGGCATATATTCTTAGGCGTATTATTGCATAATCACATTCTACGGGGCATTTAACCCATAGTCACTCACTGGAACCACTAGGCTAGCTCCACTCAGTCAAAAGTTATTTGGGATTTAAATTTTATTTGCATAAAAAATGCTTATTGCATAATGTAAACCACAAGTTGGCCTTAGTTAGCTTACATATTCAATATTCATTGCATAGGGTAACCACAAGTGAGCCACATTGTTTGTATGTACACTGAGAATCATGTATAGGGCTAGAACCACAAGTTGGCCATTTATAGATTATAGGTTAGGGCTAGAACCACAAGTTGGCCATTTATAGATTATTGGTTAGGGCTAGAACCACAAGTCAGCCGGGTTGTAAAATAGACTATTTAAGGAGGGGCTTTCCCCCCTCATTACAATTTTTCATCATCTGATCAGCAACCAGACAGAACAGAGCAATCAATCCATACATTAACCAGTGTGATCTTAATCAAGTGCCCCATTGAGATCATTCAGACATTGAGAAGCATAGGAAAAGGAAAGTAACAACTAGTACAACTTGTGATCTTAAACAAGAGACAGTGATCTTAAACTATTGTGCCCCCCCACCAAGGATTAAGGACAAAGGGAAAATTTACCTGAATAAGCACATTTGTTTTCCCAGTAGTATCTCATAAATTCCCATTCACTATCATTACATACGTCAATCATTTTTTCAAAATACATAAACATAAAAAAATACCTCTTACTCAACAATTCCACTCAAATAGTCTGCTGAATCCATGTTGATCTAGGTTTGATAAGAGACTGCTACACATAGTTTTCTCTATCATCAGTTTTGCCACAACAATAAATAAATTGTTGTGTTAACTCTTGTGTAGTACAGTGCCCTCCCAGATGTATATAGCCAACTTGTTTGGATTACAAAACCCTAACCCACCAACTTGCAATCATGAGACTTGGGCAAGTGGTATAAAAGAGGTTTCAAAAAATGATTTTGAAAACAAAAATATGAAAAACTGATTTTTAAAATTTTCAAAAAATATTACAATTATTGCACTCTTTTCAAAAGTCTCAATATTGCTCCAAATGAAAAAATAAAAATTGGAACTTGGAAGATGGTATGTTGGAGAAATGATAATAAATGAAAATTATGATAAACTAACTACCAGATTGTTTTAAACTGGTGTGGAGGGAGACACTCATCAGTCTCACAGTGGAAAAAACAGTGGAGGAGGCAGTGCTATCAAGTTCAACTTGTGTTTTGAGCTGGATACTGAGGTCCAAATAATTTCTGGTGTTGATTTTTTTCATTTATTATCATTCTTCTTGCATACCATACCACTCTTTCCAATTTTCATTTTTTCATTTGGAGCAATATTAAGACTTTTGAAAAAAGTGCAATAATTGTAATATTTTTTGAAAATTTTGAAAATTGGTTTTTCATATTTTTGTTTTCAAAATCATTTTTGGAAACCTCTTTTATACCACTTGCCCAAGTCTCATGATTGCAAGTTGGTGGGTTAGGGTTGTGTAATCCAAACAAGTTGGCTATATACATCTGGGAGGGCACTGTACAATAGAGGGGCAGGTCTTTCAAACCAGCCGTAACAGTTGTAGTAGATCATTACATACGTGATATATCTCATCTGCTATTTCCCCCTCACAGGACTGCCACCATTCCCAAAGGAGTTCTCACAGCGGGTGCCGAGTGCTAAGTAATTCAAGGATCCGATGAACGATTGATAAAGAGTCGGGGATACGGGGTCACCCCAATTTGTCACCAGAGTGTCGCCTAGTAATGGTGCATGGGTCGGAATGATGTGTCCTTGAACTTGGTCTTGAAATTTCTTGATGGTCTGGTCGATGAGAAGTTGTTGACTGAGGAAAATTGCGTTGTCTGAGTATTCCAATTTGAGCCCAACTAGTTTTTCAGGCTTTGCGTCCCATTTAACCCGTAAGCTTGCCTCAAGATTCTCACGTAGTTGGTCTAGAGCCGCCATGTCGTTGCTGAAGACGATCCCGTCATCCACATGAATTCATATTATGATGATTGACTTGCCTTTGCGGTAGCGGTATAAGCATTCTTCGACCTTGTCGCAATCAAATCCCCAACCGTGTAAAAGGGTCTTGAAGTGTTTCCACCAGCACCGGCTTGCCTGTTTTGTCCCATACAAGGCCTTCTTCAGCTTGAGCACTTTCCCGGCCAGGTGAGGGAAAAGTTCAACCGGAGGATCGACATATATTGTTTCATCAATTGGACTGTGTACGAATGGGCCAGTGATGTCGAATGAATTGATGGTCCAGTTATTCTTTATGGAGAGAGTGAGTAGCATTCGCAGAGTAGTAAGAGAAGAAGTGGGAGCGAATGTGGATCGGACATCGATGCCAAGGCTTTGTTTAAAACCTCACACGACAAAACGGGCCTTGAGTTTGTCGACTGAACCGTCGGCCTTCCTTTTGATGTCAAAAACGAAGCGGGTGCCAACGGAATGTTTAGATGCTTTTTCTTCAATGTCGAATGTGTCGATGTCTTCAAGTTGTGTCCATTCAGTCATGCACGCTGACTTCCATTGAGCCGCGTTGGGTGACGATAATGCACTTTTGTGAGTGGTCGGAATTTCCGCATCGGATATAGCCTGGATGCTGTCGATTTGAATGTCCTGATCTTCACAAATTTCTTTGGTTGGTTCCTTGCCAAGATGAAGTATTCTACAAATGCAATGTGTGTCAGGGAATTTTTTGGGAGTGGGAATCAAGGGTTTGTTTTGGAAGTCTAGAAAGTCTGCACACTCTGAGTTGAAGACCTTTTTTGTCTCTGGATCATAGAAGAACCAACCGTGTTCGTCGTCTTGGTAGTCAACAAGGTAACCAGTCCAACCCCGCTGGTCCAGTTTTCGACGCTTTTCCTTTGGGATGTGGACGGTTGCCCTTGAACCAAATGGGTAAAATGAAGCAACATTCGGTTCACGATTGGACCATAATTTGAGAGGGGTGGTGTTGCATCGAGCATTAGACAGGCGATTCGTCAGGAAGCAGGCGCATTTATAAGCATAAGACCATAGAGATAACGGCAGGTGAGAATGAGTGAGTGTAGTGCGGGCAATGTCGCCAAGAGTCCGGTTGAGTCGTTCGGCTTTGCCGTTTTGCTCGGGAGTATAAGGAGAGGTGAATATGATCTTGCATCCAACGGATGCCAGGTAGTCGTGTAAGGTCTTCACAGTATATTCCTTTGTGTTGTCACATCAGATGAATTTTGGTGAACATTGGAAATGAGAAGTGATGCGTTTGACGAGCAAAATGATAATTCCAGGGACCTCAGATCGCAATTTCATAGAGAAAACAAAAGAATATGTAGTGGCATGATCTCGGATGGTAAGGAGGAAGCGATTGCCTTTGATGTCGGGGTCCAACGGGCCAAGCACGTCTGTCACCAAGAGGTCAAGGCGTTTGTCCTTAGGAATAACTTCGGGAAGTGAATGGCGGCGGTGTTCGCTTTTGGAAGACTTGCAAGATTTGCATATGAAAGGTGTCCATTGTTTGATGTTAAAATTAGGAACGAAACGCTTAAGGAAATCCTTTACGACAGAGTCGGAGACGTGTCCCAGACGGCAATGCCAGTCGTAGGAAGGGGAAGAGAGCTGAGGCGGAGAGGTAGCAGAAGCCGATTTGATGGAGTTGGATATGTGGTGCCAAGACGCGGGAAAGATGATCCAGGAATGGTTAATGTATTTAGCAACAACAGAGATGAAAGGGGACGTTAAAAGAATATCATTGTTTGGTAAGAAAGAAGGTTTGAAGCCTGAATCAATTAGCTGTCCTAGACTAAGAATCGTTCCCGTCATTTCCAGGCTGTACAGGACTCGCGGGATCATTAGGGAACCAACCCCATTGGTTATCTTCAGGTGACCACTGTGTGTTGCGGTCATGGAGCCATCAGAGGAAGCAAGATTGAGTTTGAGTGGTGGACGGAGATAAGAAAGGTTAGAAAAAAAATGGAAAGATCCGCTCACGTGGTGGGTCGCCCCAGAATCCAAAACTGTGCCTGCGCCTCCAGCACCTGTCGCATCCGCGGCCACCGTCGATCTAACTGCCGCATTAGAATTTGTGCCAATGGCTGGGTCGTTTGGGGGTGCTGTCTGGCGGGTGAAACCGGAAGCGGTGTGAGAACTCCTTTGGGATGGATGGCAGTCCTGCGAGGGGGAAATAGCAGTTATGATATTTCAGGTATGTATGAATTTATTACAACTGTTACGGGTGGTTTGAAAGACCTGCCCCTCTAATGTACTACACTAGAATTCTGACAACAATTTTATTTTTATTGTTGTGGCAAAAAAAAACTGATGATGGAGAAAACTATATGTAGTAGTCTCTTATCAAACCTAGATCAACGTGGAATCAGCTGAGACTTAGTGGAATTTTGAGTGGAAATAATTTGGTGTGGTTTACAGAAGTCTGGAATCAGATAATGGAAAGAGTTTAAAA